GGCAAAACACATCACAGAATCGCACATAATTTGGCAAATATGTTTCACATCAAATCACATAATTTGAAATTTGTTATTACATAATTTTGATTTTGTCACCGCAGAAAATCAATGTCCCTAGTCCAAAACAAATGTCAATTTTGTCAAAAATCGTTTATTTTTCAAAAATTCACATAAGAAACCGCCTTTCGTACACTAACAAAAAAAAATTCCTTGAATAATTTTACTATTTCACCTTCATTTTTAACTTTAGTTTAAACGCTAACCCTAACATAAACGAACTTAAAAGGTTTTTTTCGGTAGTCATGTAAAAGTGACATTTTTGATGTCGATACTAGGAAGATTATTGAATTGATGCTAAAAACCATAAAATGAATTGCTTTACTGTACTCTTGTTTCCTCTAGTATTTACCTTCGTATTCATCGCTCTTCTTTGTATAGTTGTGCTCTCACCTATTTGGATTCTGTTTGCTGGTATAATTTTTAATGAATAAATACGTATTCTATGAAAACAATCTATACTAACATCTATCAAAATTGTTAGAATTTTCATTTCATCTAAAATAATGATCACCTTTCAAGACAATCCATCTGAAACGCTTCAAACCCTTCATGCATATGAGAAAACGTCAAGCGCAAGATTTTCTTAATATGACTCATAATTTTCTTTATGAAAAGCTTTAAAATACGTCTGGGTATAGGTTATTATCCTACTTTCAATTTTAGTTTTTTAGGGTTAGGGTTAGTTAGCACGTGATGACTATTTTAAATTTAATTTATTTATTTTTAGTCATAGGTTAATAACCTAAACCTGGGTCTATTTTAAAGACACTCTTTCTTTATATGCTTGAATATCATAGTGATGATACAGCAATATTTTAACACTTGATCCCTTAACCTATTTGTAGCTCGCATAGACAAGAATCGAGTCTGAATTTGATGACGAGATTGGGCTTAACATTATATTTTTCTCGATACACTTGACAGAGGGAAGTTTACTGGTCATGAAAATGAATAGGTAATGATACACAATCAGAAGGTAATAGAGTATGGACAGGAGTATAACAATGATCAATTAAACAACACCCTAGAAGATATGCCTGGTGCTATCCAGCTCCCGATTGATCAGACACATCTGCCATATAGTAAGCCGGCGAAGATGGTGATTGTTCAACGTATTAATAATGGTAATAACTACAAGGTTTGAATATATACGTACCTGGTTGTATATTCTGAAAAATTACAGTATTTACATTTTAGTACTTAGAGCAAAAGATGTATTTACATGTTAATTTAGTAATTTTTTCAAATAAAGGTTAGAGTTTGCATCAGAAAACCTGGCGAAATTAATATAATCACTCTTGTATATGATTTTTACGACATGTATAACAACAAAAAGTACTCATGCATGGTTGATACAGGTGCGCTAGAAACAATTTTGCCATATTATGTTAGAAGAATGCTTGGAGAACTGGGTGGAGTATAATACCAAGAATAGTTGGAGGTTATGATGCACCTGTATAGCAAATTCGTGTGTCTATAATGTTTGAGGTGTCTATTGGCGATGATAATAATTGGACCAAATGGGTTAAAGCCAAAATTCTACTCTGGGAAAAAAAAAATCTGGCAATCAAGTGGAATATGCTCTTATCGGAAATGATGTTACCGACCAACTAGCTTATGTATATGAACCAGAAAAACCAATCAAATTTTAGATCTTCAAGATGAACCAAACCTCACTGAGTTTTTGAGAGGATGTGCTTGAATCTAAAAGACGTAATTCTACAATTTCTTACATTTATTAAACATCAAAAAGGCACTCCCATCAAAGGTACATATAGATCCTTCAAATTAATTGAAACGCGCCAGAAATCCCTGATTTATTATGTATGATAGGGTTTGAGCTGGGTGAATAGATTCACAAAAATTCCACTTATTAATTGTGGATTTAGGATCCACCTAGGTTGATTCCAAATAAATATAGGTTGCATTAGAATTCTAAAATGTGCCCAAGTTGTTAGAGAATTTCAATTAAACTTACAATAAAATTAAGTATACTGTATTGTCTTGGAATTTAAGTCGTTTTAAAATAGAGTCTATTCATAATGCAGCCAATTGCAAATAAGTGGGATGCAGGGACCCGTAAAAATTTGGATTTTATTTATATGATTTCCAAATTTGTATAAATAATTTCCAAATTTTTACGTGT